TGAAAACAGAGAAGTTTGAAAGCTAGATGGCGTAAAAAGTCCCACAATGGGGTACTTACTGCTATTTATAGTAGTGGGGGAAAATCCCCAAAACCGAGGACATTAAATGCCATTTAATTATTGCAGGAGCTAGTGGGACGCGTGGCAGCCCCCTGTTGTTTTAGCCGTTCTGCAGAAATAGAGGGACGCAGCGTGCGTCCTCGTTTTTGGGAATTGTCATAATGACAAATTCTGAAATGACGTTTGGTACTGCACGCCGTACTGAAAGTGACGTCCTAGGTACGAATAAATGATGGTTTTCTTGGGATTGCCAATAGTTGGTAGAAGACAACAAAAAGTGCACAAGTTAATTTGTGACTAAGCGTGAAAAGACAGGTGTCGAATGGCGTTTCAAAGAATGCCTTTTTCTTTCAGAGTCGAAATAAGGCATTCTTGGGGGGCAATTTGTTGGCTCCTAAATTCGACACCTTTGTTTTGTTGATGTCAGCCATTAAAGCTGAAGGATGTTTTCGACTGGCTAAGTCTGTCGAAATGCCCGTCGAAAGATGGCAAAGTACTTAGAAGATTTCTTCCAAGGGAGAAGTTGGTTGCCTTCAACGTCGAAGGAGTTTCTCGTTGAAGATGTCTCTCGACGAAAGTGTTCGATGGTTCAGAGGGGAGCAGTTTGAAATTCAAGCTTTTGGAGGGAAAACGGTTTCCAGCAGTTACTACGTGTAGCGTGCAAAGATCTGGAGCGTCGAACGTTGAGAACGTGCCAAGTGGAATCATCTCGAAGCAGTGTAACTGCCCGACGGTTACTTGGGATGTTTTAGTATAAATAGTAGTAGTCATGTAAGTTCTCGCGTGTGTTCACAATTCTATACAAAGTCACTCATATAGATTCGAGTACCCAGCGTGTGAGAAAGAATTGTTGAGAAATGTATGTGTGAAACACCAATTTTATTAATCAAAGTCATTTACTTTTCCAGAAATTTACTTGCTTTCCTCTTTACATTCCTGTCGAAGCATTTTACTTAAAGCCTTGTTTATTTTACCAAGTCCTTTCTTCATGCAATTTACTTGAAACCTCTTTATGTCATTTAAAGCCTCTTTATTTAAAGCCTTATCCAATTTAATCAAAACTTCAAAATCAACCTATGTCCTAGGATCAATCTGATCGATCCTGCGAGTAACCAAATAAGTAACCATTTGGAGGATCAGCGGTTGTTTACCAAAACCCAAGGTAAACAATGACAAACACTCGAAATACAACAGAGTCGCCACCGAATTTTATTTTATAAGGGAAAACATTTACAAAACCCAACCAAATTAGTGTTTGAGAGTCGGTTATGCGAGAAGAAAGTGTATTAGCACCCCTCACATCCATTATACTCAACGGAAACCGTTTAGTTAGTTTTTGCAAAATAGAGTGTTAGCGTGATGTTTTTTTTTCTTCAGACTATTATTTGTTATGTAAATAAATAAATAAGGACTAAAAATAGTTTTTTTATTAGGGTGCTTGACGAGACATTGAATTTCTCTCATACGTATCCTCATAAGCGATGAAGAATTCAAATCTACGTAGTTCTTTGTAGAAAAGAATTGTGTGTTGATTGCTTTTAGAGAATGATGCTTAGGTCGCATTGATTAGTTAAGTATTGCTCGTTGCTTGCGCTCAGAGGCTAAAGCATTTGTTTTTTCCGCGTCGAATGAATAGAGCATCACTCGCTTGTGAAAAAGGTTTTTGGTCGCGCTAAGGCGTAAAAAAGAATAATTTGATGATTGAGGTTGTTTTTATATGGAAGACGAATGCTCTGTTGGAACAGAGTTTGACCTTCGCGTCGATTATTCGGGTTTTCAATAGGATGTGCATCTGATTGTTCTTTTTCATCCATGTTAGATTTATGAAAATTATCTTTGCAGAATACAAGTAACCGGTTGGAATAAAGTGTATACTTTGTTCCCGACTATTCAAGTATAAAAAAGTGTACACACAATTTTCCTTTTTTAATCCGAGTTTATTGCAAAAAAAGATTTGAAGCGCTCTTGATTAAGTTTGAAAATGGGCTTAATGTTGATCAAGTGTTTGATTTATTTTTGCATGGAAATTTTTTTGATTGTGAAATGGTTTTGAAAATGGCTTGGTGAAGAGTTAGTGAAATGTTTTGAAAATCACTTGATGTTAATCAAGTATTTGAGTTTACTTTGAAAAAAGATTGATTTTATGTGATCTTTTATGTTTTTGAATTAACAATTATCAATTAAACAAATAACTAATAAAAAATAAAATCATTAAAATAAAATAAAAGGGAAGGTGCACTATCAATATGATGGTGTAAAGTACAAAAAAAGAAGAAAAAAACAATGGGCCTAAGGCCCAAATTCTTACATGAAACAAAAAACAAACAAGTAAATAGGAAAAGAGGGGATGTATTGTTGAGAATGAGGGTGTGATGCCTTAGGCTCGACGCCTTAGGCTCAAGGTTCAGGGCCCATTCTTACTCAACACACACTAACATGGGGTGTGTGGAGCAAAGCAGCATGATGCTCAACAAAAACAACAAAGGTCCTATGGAGGGCCATCAGAATAAAAATAACGCCAAACAAAAAGTAAGGGGGTGTATAACAAAGCAGATGGGTGGGGATGCAATAAGTAGTGAGTTAGGCCCAATGGCCCTTAACCTATCCAAACTCCTGAGTGTATAAGAGGAGAAAGATGCCCATATTGCTTCATTTTTCCGAACTTTTTCTCTTTCCTATATTGCTATTCTCTGTCTCTCTCTACTCTAGCAACAAAAACACAAAGAACCCTTGCTAGAAAAGGATCGAAGCGGTGGAGAATAAAGAGCAAGATGAAGAACACTTTGAGTGTTATTCATCCTCCACCCAAAAATCATTGCAACAAAGCCAAATCAAAAAACTTTAAACACCAACCCTAGGTAATTCCTCCCCCTAAACACAGATCTACCACTGAAACAAACAAACAACCAACAAAAATCACTAGATCAACATTATAAATATGCAAACCCTAACATCATAAAATCAACTGATCCAGTCACACCATTCACACACAACAATAATTAACAAGGGGAAATGAATATTAAAGCAAATAACAACATTAAACAAGAGTAAAAACATGAAGAGAAACCCTTGAGGTACCTAATTGTTGGTTTTGGTGAGAATGCTTCAACGAGGATTGAGATATCTTTATGTTGATTACCATCATCTGAGAGGTTAAACCTTCAGTGATTCTAGAAACAAAATTCTTCACTTCAATATCATTTGAATATAATGTTGATTTCAAAGAGATGACTTGATCTTTAAGAATATCTTCAAGAGGATATCTTTATGAACAATCTTGAGCATGTTTGACTGCTTGAGCTATCTTTACCAAATAAAGACTTCACTGGATATTATTTTATATCAGGTATTGTTATCATCAAAACTAAATAGTTACTCAATTTCCTTACAACTTTGTTATCAACAAATTTTATCACCTCGGACTCTCTTGACAATACATGTAAACACATAGATCCACAGTTAGATCGAAAATTTCCATAATTAATCACACGAGATCGCTTATGGTTAGATGTGACATTCAGAACCAGATGAATCTAACATGGAAATTCGTGATAATCAAGAGTCGATTCCCACTGAGGTGCCACTGTTCTGAGGCGGAGTAAAAAATTTGTGTGATGAAAGAGCAAGCTCTTCCAAGTTAACGATAAGATATTATGATACGACAAGGCGGGAGGACCTCTAAGTTTTGCATTCCCACATATAAGTCAGTGAAGCTTCAGAAATATGGTTTATGAGTTAGAATGAGATAGTACACGTACTTAACGCTTGGTGAGGTTTATATACGTCATGTGGTTGAAACCACCCCCGTCTAATCTGACATGTGAGTTGGGATTTGTTTGATCATATCCAATAGCATAAAATGTTTGAGGTTAATATTCAATATCTCACTTCTCTAGTAAGTTTCATTTATTCATCTGTCATACTTAGTGAAACTATGAATTGTATCTTCATAAATAGATTTGTGGCTTTGGACTTTTGACCGATTCAAAACAATAAATAACAAATTATTAAAAAATAGATACATTATCTTATTGATTTCAGATACAAAATATATGAGAGCCGAAAATAGATTGGATGTAACAAATAATCAAACTTTATAATCTAATTTTAATATAATAAAAGTAATGATTACCATAATTACGTCGTTATCCAACTAAATTCATATTAAACATAGATTTACAAGAACATATAAGTAATTTCAACTACTAATCATTTAATTAAATAAAAATTATTGAAATTATATACTATTTACATTTACAATTCATCACAATCATTGCATTTATGACCCTAACACTTCTCTACGTAATGAATACAACACTTTCAATCCATCTTTCAAAACAAAATATTGGGAACATATTTGTTTTCATAAAACCTTCACATCTTTCAATTCGTTCCATCCTTTCCACTTCCCCTTTAATCCTCATGATCCTCTATAAAACATGACCTCAACACTTCAACTTCCACCGTATCTTTTCTTTTCCACAAAATTTATTTTAAGGTATGTTTCATTATCAATCTTCCTATGTTTCGATTTACCACCATGGACTTCACCTGTTACTTCTAACCAAAGTACACTTATTTCCTTTTCTGTCAATCTACTGGAACATCAAACTTTAGAAGTTGCTGCTCGCGAAACAATAAACTCTGGTGTTGGTGTAGATATGGTTGATAACAAAGTTTTTCATTTTTTATACTGCTCTGAAATGTTGTTTCATTTTCTCTACCAACTTCAAATAGGTTTGAAATTTTCACAACCAACTTTTATGTTTTTTCATCTTTTCTAATAGATTTGTAGTTGTAATTGATATGTTTTAAATAAGTGGTTTTCCATTTTGTTTGATATTATATTTTTATTGGATTTGTTATTACTCTATGTTGAGGATAAGAGAACAATAGAGAAAGATTTGGAGGAAGAAAATGGCGGGGTTGGTGTTTACTCCATGAACTTGAGAAAACATTACATTATGGTTGATGATGAATGGAATTGGAAAGAAGATATAATGCCAAAAATATTTGATGACCACAAGGTGTATGATTTCATTGATCCGGATATTCTACACACGGTTGAGGAGTTAACAAGAGAAAAAGGATTAAGGCAAAAAGAAGTTGGAGATGATGATTTTGACATAGATGAAATTGAATTGACTCCAGAATAGCAAGAGGATTTAACTGAGATTGTCATCACCATTATAGTTTCATTGTTTAGGTACAATTTGTTTTTGTCATTCACTCATTCTGAGGATAATGCACACAATTTTTTTGATATAATGTTTTCTTTTTATGTGACTCAATTGAACTCTAATGTTTTGGTATTTGTATGAGCTCCTAGGATTATAGTCAAAAACTGACGGAACTAATAAGTTGGTGTGTTAATAAAGGAAATAATACAAATAATAGGCAACATCTAGAATGATATCAACATTGATTGATAATATCCTTTTTCCTTGATTCATGCGTACTTAACAGTGTTTTTGTAATTGATTCTTGTCACTGAGAAGATGGGATTCATTTGAGTATCAGGATTCATGAAATAATTTTACAATCTTGATTTTGTGGTTTTAGATATTATCATGTTAAGGGGACGTTCCAGATGAGGAACATACCAATCTAAGTCCTACTCGTCGAGTACACTCCTCGTAGGGCAGACTCTCAACCTCTCCGAATATCTCGGAGTCCTCAGGGTCCCGGGAAGGTCGCGCCTTCACCTCCCTATTCTGCGGAGAGCATCATCCAGGTAGGGGACCACGTGCAGGTCCCCACTACTCCACGTAGAACATGGCAGTCCCTTTGTTGGGCCTATTTGGTCAGCCCAATAAAGGGACCTTGGTCCAGCGCTGGGTGCTATAAATATCATCTATTTCAAAAGAGTCAGGTATTCATTTCGTACACACCTATATACTACTTTCCTGCTCATTCCGTCTCTTTCTTTGTCATCGGAGTGCCTTGTAGGTACCCTCATCTCCTTCAAATCCAATTCAAACCAGCTATGACGGTCCAACTCTGATCAGGTACGATCAGTGGCGCCGTCTATGGGAAACTAAGCATCCCCGTCTTACAAACTTACAAAGACCAAAGCTAAAACCATCCTCGACCGTCATGGCTGACCAGACTCAGGACGACCAGACTTAGGACAACCAGAACGTCTGCATCGTTGAAGCTAACAACAACATCACCGACAAAAATGGCGGCCCCGACAACACCGACATCACTGGCCATAACATACTCCCCGGAGGCACCATCCTCGGGCCCTTTAACTATCGGGATGAAGCCACGACTTCATCTTCATCAGTCCCTCCTCGGCTTGAAGAGGATCCAACCGTCCAATTCCATGAGGTTCCTGTCCTCGCCGGGGCAGACGCCACGACCAGGGCACTGTTCGCGGCAATTAACCAGACGAATTATCTCATCTTTGCCCAGGGGGAAAGATTGAGAGCACTTGAAGACGACCGAAGGCCCCTAGAAGACACATGAGGCCTCAATCCCCTCCTCCTCGAAGAACGGAGGAACGTACCCGATCTCCCCCGCGGAGACAGGACCAGGACTTCTCTCAAAGCCCGTCACCCCGACCAGTCGGGCGGCGACCCCGCTTGGAGAGGGAACCAATCATCGAAGCAGAAAAGTTCGACCACGGTCCCCACGGCAAGAACGAAGACCTCTTGGGGGAATACGCGGAGGAATCTATCAACGGTCACATCACTCGAGGAACGTCCCGCGTGACCAGGGCCATCGTGACCGACAATACATCAGATCCCCGTCCCGCTCCCCGGAACGGAGTGACGAGGACGACCCCCGCGGTCCCTTGTCACAAGCTATGATGGAGGCGCCCATTCCCCCGGCATGTAGAAGCCTTCCCACTTAAAAGAATATGACGGCATCGCCAACCCGGTCGACCACATAGACGGGTTCGAGGTCATACTGCACTACCACAATGTCGGGGGACCAATCAAATGTCGGTTGTTCTCCACAACCTTGAGGAAAGCAGCTATGGACTGGTACAAGGGTATCACCCCGGGGTCAATCACCTCGTGGCGAAACTTGAAGAACCAGTTCATCAGCTCGTTCACTACGTCGCAGTGACATCCGAAGACCGAAGCGGCGGTCGAGGCCATTATCCAGAAGCACGATGAGACCTTGAGAGAATTCATCAGCTGCTTCAATCGGGAAGCCATCCAGGTCCCCTGCACGGACCATATGAAGAGATACCTGCTGGAGAGGGGTCTCCTCCCCGGCACAGAATTTAGAAAAGCTATGGGCATCGAACCACCCCGAACGTTTGATGCTCTTCTCGAGAATGCCAGGGCCTACATGGACTACGAGGAGAGGGAAGCGGCCAACAGAGCCCGAGACCCCAGGAATCGTGGATCCAGCAGCAATCCACGCCAAGATGCCGTCCCTCCTCGGCGAACCGAGGAAAAAAGAAAAGATGACAAACCCCAGGACACCCGAGAGCAGAGGGGGCCTTCGGGACGTTTCATAGAATACACTCCGCTCACGGCTTCCCACGAGCGCATCTTAGCGGAGTGTGCGAGTACGGACTTCAAAGATGGCGGAGTCAAACGTCCCCGACCAGCTCCTGCCAAACCCGGGGTGGACAGGAGCAAATACTGTCAGTACCACCGGAGCCATGGCCATCTGACTGAAGATTGTGTCCACCTCAAAGACGCCATCGAGACCCTCATAAAAGGGGGAGACTCGCCCAGTACCGGCGAAACGACGCTCCTCGTCACGAAGCCCGCGAGAGGAGGGAAGCAGAAGAGGATGTCCGAACATCTGACGAGTCGGTTCCCATCCAAACCGCCTTCTCCCTCACAAGACCCAAGGACTTCTACGTCCCCGACCACATTCAAGAACCGCTATCGATGCACAATAGGTGGGAACACTTTCCCTCTGCCATGGTCATCAATGGTGGAGGATTCAATGACCTGACCATCAATTCAGCTAAGAGGAAGCTGCACGAGTTAGTCGACACCCCCCCCCTCAAACGGTGACTTTTGAAAAGGTGAAGGGCAGGTCAGAACCTATCACCTTCTATCTCGAAGAGCTCCCCAGAGGGGCACCAAATTCGGTCATTCCTCAGCTGATAAGAGCGAGAATGGCCAACTTTGACGTACATCGCGTCCTCATCGATGAAGGAATTTTCGTCGATGTAATGTACAGCCAACTATTTCGAACCCTGTAGCTCGACGACTCGCACCTTTCACCTTACATGGGGTCAGACCCGTAGGGCTTTAACAACTCAACTTCCAAGCCTTGGGGATACGTCGAGCTCATGGTCAGGTTCGGCGAGGATATGACAACGAGGTAAGTCAAGGTGCGCTTCCTCATCATCGGTTGCCCGTCCCTCTATAACTGTATTTTGGGAAGGCCGACATTGGCAGAGCTGACTGCGGTACCCTCCACCGTTCACCTAAAAATGAAGTTTTACACCAAGATGGCACGGGTCGCCACCATCCAAGGGGATCTAGCAGCAGCCCGAAGGTGTTTTAACACGGCTTCCAAGGGATGCGATACGGTGGACACCAGCACAAGGCCCGCCAAGAGAGTTGCGACAACACAACCAGAGCCTCAGAGGATAGAGCCCGTCAAGGCAGAAGAGCAGATAACCCCTCCAGAGATCGACTCAATATCCCTGGACACCCGCTTCGACCAGGATGAGCCTCTTAGCGGCGAGCAAGTCCCCCTTTGACCAATTCTCGATGGGGACTTCGAACTCGTCCCCCTCGGCGAGGACCCAAGCAGAGGAGTGAAGATTGGCACCGGACTCCCCGACTTGGCAAGGAAGCAAATCAAAGCTTGCTTGTGCGAGAATGTGGACCTGTTCGCGTGGGGCGCTGCAGAGATGCCCGGACTCGACCCCGAGGTCGACTGTCACCGTCTCTCCATAGATCCCGCCGCTAGGGCAGTAGTACAACGTAGACGTATGCAGTCTCTGGAGAAAACGGAGGCCGCTGAAAAAGCTGTAAAAGACCTCTTAGAGGAAAATTTTATTTTTAAAGCCCGGTATTCAACCTGGCTGTCAAATGTTGTACTTGTCAAGAAAAATAATGGAAAGTGGTGAATGTGCGTTGATTATACCGATCTTAACTGAGCATGCCCGAAGGATGTATTTCCTTTACCTAACATAGATATGTTAGTCGATAACTCGGCTGGTTATAAAACACTGTCGTTTATGGACGCCTATTCGGGCTATAACCAAATTCCAATGGCAATAAGCGACAAGCATTGCACCGCTTTCATGACCAACTCGGGTAACTATTACTACAATGTAATGCCCTTTGGTCTGAAAAATACAGGAGCAACGTATCAATGGATGATGAACAAAGTATTCAACAACCAAATCGAGGATATGCTCGAGGTATACATGGACAACATGATCGTCAAATCCCGAGCAGGCACCGACCATGCCGCTCACCTCAGGGAAGTCTTTGCTCAAGCAAGGCAATACAAAATGAGATTTAACCCCGAGAAATGCACGTTCGGGGTCAAGGCAGGGAAATTCCTCGGCTTCTACTTGACAGAATGAGGAATCAAATCCAACCCCGACAAATGTAGGGCTTTCTCCGACCTCCCCACGCCTACATCGAAGAAATCCATACAAGTCCTGAATGGCATGCTCACCTCGTTATCCTGTTTCGTTATGAGTTCCGCTCAGCACGCCATCCCCTTCTTCAAACTTCTTTGCAAGGAAGCAACCTTCGAATGGACCGAGGAATGCGAGCGGGCGCTGCTCCATCGTAAACAAAGTCTATCTCAACCGCCCATGTTATCACGACCAATCGACGGGGAACCTTTGTTCTTATACCTGGCCGTCTTGGCCGAAGCCGTCAGCGCAGCCCTCATTTGCGAGACGCTCGACGGACAAAAACCCGTCTATTTCACAAGCAAAGCGCTTCAAGGGCCCGAGGTCAGATACCAACAGATAGAGAAGGTAGCGCTGGCCCTCGCCGATGCAACAAGAAGGCTCAGACACTACTTCCTCGCGCACACGATCATAACACGAACAGACCAGCCAGTAAAACAGCTCCTGGGTCGACCAGACATGGCGGGTCGAATATTGAAGTGGTCTTTGGAACTTTCTGAGTTCGACATCCAATACGAGAGCAGGAAAGACCTAAAGGCACAAGCTTTGGCCGATTTTGTCGCAGAGATGACTGCG